ACGAATAACCTTAGGGCACTCATAACCTTTTGTGTAGACGCTTGAATGGGTGAATGTTGACTGTATTAGAGAGTAAACTTAGTTTCACAGATCATGAAGCATCAAAGGGCCAACTTTTTGTATGTCTATGAAAGAAAACTTTGATCAACTTGATTGGATTTTGTAGAGTAATGCTTTATTTGCTCTGTTTATACCACCTGTCTGTGGTCAAAATAAGTCATATTGTAATAATGATTCAGCATAAAATAAATGCTTTTTTTTTTGTTCATGTGAAGAATTTGGTAATATATTAATTTACCATACATTGTTAGACAAACAATATGTGTGTGCATACCAAATTAACACCTTTAGAAAGAGATGTCTCTATATAATGAGAAAATTAAATAATAATATTTTTTTTGACAGGCACTCGATCAAGTACAAATAAAACAGAAGCAACACTCTGCGTTTGAAGTAAACCACGAAGAAACACTACTCAAAGAAACCGCATCCAGGGAAGCTGATTTACTTTCACGAATTAGCGAGTTGGAAAATGAAAACAAACAATCACGTTTAGCACTTGAAAGGACTAGAGCAGAGACGGAGAGACTGATTTGTAGAAATAATCACTTGACTGAGAATACAGAAACACTAGATGTGGAAAGGAAAAAATCAAAAGAAGAATTACGTGAATATAAATTCCGCGAAACTCGACTCTTACAAGACTACAGCGAACTTGAAGAAGAAAATATACAACTTCAGAAACAGGTTAGTAATACTAAAGTCCTTCACTTGTAATAATTTATTATCATAATTACATGGATACTTGAATACACGCGTCAAAAGAGCTATTCTGTTTGACCTGATAGCTAATCTGTGGGGACATGTGATATTCTCTGTGTACCTCAGATTTCACAATAGGGGATATTATTACCGGATAAGGCAAGACACAATCACTAAATAAAATTAGTATTATGTCTAGTAAACATCCTCTCAGATTGCCCAAAATATCTACAAAGTATTGCATGATAAAACAGAAAAGTATTTAAATATTGACGAGCAATTTTTTCTTTCTTATGAGCAATTTAAAATTTGAATGTTATTATTTTCATACATATGAATTTAGGTCCTTATTTTGAGATAATTCTTCATATTTGTTTCAGCATTGATTTCATTTAATCGTATATATAGATATTTGCCTGGTGAACTGAAAATATCAAATATTATATGCATGAGGTTATTCACAAAATACCAAAATTTATGTTGAAAGCATTGTATAGCAGAGATATTGTCTGAGATGCCAAGGACAATGTCATAGAGTAAGATGCACTGGTATAAATCCTGGTATTGTGTGTATAACCTTATTAGTATATGCATTTTGTAGACTCAAACGATAATTAATGAAACAGGGCAGTCTAAAGTTGCACTTGTACAGTGTTGGGTTTCGCCTGACAACGCTCATTTGCATAACATCAAATACTGCTTTGGCTTCACTGTCTCTGCAAAGCCTGCAGTCTACTGTCTTAGGCTTCACCGTCTCTGCAAAGCCTGCAGGCTACTGTCTCAATGTCAGTCTGATTACTAACTCTCAGAACCTTTCCATGCTGTTGTAGAACTTTTGAAAAATGTCACTGATTTATATACTGGTACAAGCAAATTTCGCCAGCCGTTATCATGTCATTGATTTATATACAAGGGAATTTCGCCAGCAGTTGGTTATCAACAAGTTTTGTAAAGGTGGCTGCTGATCGCTTCTTCTGGTCATTACTACATGTTATAATACATAGAGAACATTTACGACTATCTTATGTGCCGTTCATTGGAGTGTGCATATGTAGTGCTTTCGATCATTCAAATTTTCACTGACAGCACCTGTTGGCAAACTAAATTGTAACTCTGGAAGCAAAAACAATATTTAGCTGATCCTTTTTTTCAAGCGTCTTCCAAAAAAATACTCAAATAATAAGGTGAATTTTGCATATACAATGTATGCTCCACGATTATTTGTTTTGTATTTGTTTGACCTCTCAACCTGGTCAAAGATGAGTGAAATAACAAAAACTTATTGTAGCGATCAGCGCCATAGGTTACAGAGCCAGATGTATAATAATATTTGATATTGGAAAAATTGTTTTGTTATTTTCCTTTAAAGTTTAAAAAAATAATGGCATTTAATTCCCTGACTTTCTAACTAAATATATTCTGCAAGCTTGTACTTGTGTTGTTACAGTCATGTAGTGATTGTCACATGACATACTGTTAAGGGGATAATTATTCACTGGGTTTTAATTTTGCTTATTTCGCTGACTGGAATAGCGCTAAATTAAAACCCAGTGAATATGTAAAATTTAGCATACATGTAGAACACATTATCTAAATGAAAAAACCATGAATTTAAAACCTACTGAATATGCCTGAAATGATAAATCAGTGAAATTTAAACCCAATGAAAATTAGTCATTTTACAGTAGTCTTTTTAGATTCTACCTACATTACATTAAACTTAATCAGTTGTTAACTAATGAAAAATGTTTATTTGCTATACAAATTACTGTATTTGATTTCTGGTTAAAACACAATATAAATCAAAGATTATATTTGTATATGGAATCATTAAAATATTGCTTATTTTGACACTGTAATTTACTTAAAGCGTACATAGATATGTAATATGCTAATACAGTATTATTCTTATTCAATCAGATGTATTTTTCATTGTCACCAGAAAGTTACAATATTCAGTCTCTCAGACTTTTATCATATTAAAATGCTAAATAGGCAGTGTCCCATCCATGATTTAAGAAAAGTTGGAATTTTCCACATCACTAGGAGGGAATTTTTCCTCGCGCTCTGAATACAAAAAGGGATTTTAAAAATCAATGACTTGATTGTATCACAGTTTCACCTCATTAATTTGTGCTTGTTCTGGCACTTGTTTTCATTCTGTCCCAGTATCTACTATAATTTTCATTTAAATCACCTGTATCCAATTATAGTGGCATACATTAAATTAATACGCCATTGCCAATCTATTGGATGAGACACTGATATACATGTAGGTGGCCTAATTGGCATATTACTATTGTAACAAATGTTTTTGTTTTTTATTTGCATGTTTTGAATAACCTGGAGATTTGTAGGTGTTTGGCAGGTTGGGTGACATACTCATTTTTTGAAGAGAAACACAACATAATATTAGTTGTATTTAATTCGCCTTATCTGGTTTTTCTGTAGGTTTCTGCCTTGAAATCATCCCAAGTTGAGTTTGAAGCTATGAAACATGAAATCAACAGACTAAACGAAGAAATCATTTACATAAACTCGCAAGTTGAAGACATCTCCAAACTCAAAGAAATTGCAGAAAAGCAGACTGAGGAAGCTTTAAATGCCTTAGAACATGAACGTGAACAAAAACATTCACTGAAAAAAGAACTTGACAGTAGACGACTTTTAGAACTGGAGGCCTTAAATGAAGACCTTGAGAGTAGCACTGATAGACTGCAGCTTGACAGGGAAGAAATGTGCAGTTCTCCTGATCACCCAATTTTACGACGCATGGAACATGAATTCCGTGCTTCATTGCCAAGTGAGCTGTCACCGACACCTTCAACAGTCAATGATTTACTAAGTGAATTACACATGACAGAGGTCAGTAGATTAGAAGAACAGGTACTTGCATTACAACATGAAAAATCTGAAGCAAACAGGAACTTGCAAGGAATGCAAAAGCAATTACACGCTGCTAAAGCAGCTCTGAATGAGCAGAGCAAGCGAGTCAATAAACTCTCGACATTGCTTGATCAGAAAGTTCTCAGTGAATATCAGGAGGATGGAGGAGATGCGGAAACTGAGGAAGAGGATGATGCAGACTTGGATGTAAATGAAAGGGAAGTGAAGAGAATGAGAAAAGAGGTTGGGCAGCATGAGAAGCGATATTTAGCGGCTGCAGCACGTGTCCATGCTCTACAGACTGAATTGGAGTCACTACAAGAAAAGGTCAGCCAAGAGTACTCCACCAAACTGTACAATGATATGCAAGAAGAGGTCACCTTATTAAACTCAAATAACAAGAAGCAGAATGATACAATCAAAGAATTAGAAATAAAATTGAAAGAGATGGGTGAAATTATGGGAGAGAGTCAAGGTAATCTGAACTGTACTCGTGATGAACTGATAGGAGTTAGTGAGGATTTAGCCCAACTTTACCATCATTTATGCATGGTTAATGGTGATACCCCAAACAGAGTTATGCTGGATCACTTCAGAGCTACACGCTTGAGTCGAAGAGAGGGTTTCCGTGCACAGATTGCAAGCAAGCTTAAGGATATGACGCCAGATGATGCCAATAATAAGAGTGGTATGAGTAAGAAAGAAAGAAAGAATGCTGCAAGAAATTCAAAAGATATTGATACCATGTTAGGCCCAACAACAGGCAACGATCTTGCAGCAAGTGAACAAAATGGAACCGCCGATCCAATAACCTGCTTCAATCTACTGTCTACTGTTCGGGATCAAATTAAATACTTAAAACGTGCCATTGAACACACTGTGGAAATCTCCAGACAACATAGGCATGACTGCAATGGGTCAGCAGAGAATGAAGACTTGCATGAACAGGTATTCAAGCTGAAATCATTGCTTTCAACAAAGCGAGAACAGATCGCTACATTGCGAACAGTTCTCAAGGCTAATAAAACCACTGCGGAAGTTGCTTTAGCGAACCTGAAGAGTAAGTACGAAAATGAGAAATCCATTATTGCCGAAACAATGATGAAACTACGCAATGAACTTAAAGCTTTAAAGGAAGATGCTGCCACATTTGCTAGCTTACGTGCAATGTTTGCCGCCCGATGTGATGAATATGTTACCCAGCTAGATGACATGCAACGCTCGTTAGCAGCTGCCGAAGAGGAGAAAAAAACATTGAACTCGCTTCTACGCATGGCTATACAACAAAAGTTGGCTCTGACTCAGCGTTTGGAAGATTTAGAATTCAGTCATGAAAGGCAGTCTCTTGGAAGAAGTGGTTCAAGACGGAAGAAGTCATCTAGAGTGAGTGAATTCCAACGTGGTTATAGTCTACCCGTGGATCATAGAGCATTAGCTGAAAGACTTGCTAGATTTGAATCGCATCATTAGATACTATAGCACTTACATCAAATTATTTAACCATGAAGGAAGATTTGCAGACATTTATTTTAATTGTTTGGTCTCAGTTCTACAATTGGGAAACCTGTGTTTTCCTGAGCAAAATACACAGTAAAATTTTGTTTAAAAATTTGTTCTGTTAGACTCAGAAAGAGTCACATTTGAAATACAATATGCTGCTAACTCTTCCTTCATTCCCAAGTTATAATATGTATTTGGTTGTCTGTATGTAGCATGTGGTACTTTAACTGTAGCATGTCTACTAATTCTCTTTATGCCTCTCTGCATGTAGCAAATTCAGATTAAGTTTCTCAATGTGTGAGGTGTAAAATAATAGCTAAAGTGATTGAAACTCACATATCTTATTCCCTTGTAATGCTAGTTAAGTGTGTGTGTGTGTTTTCTGCACTTTTAGAATTAACCATGGCCTTTATTAATACCTGATGTTACTGCCAATACACTGCTCTCTGATACTCTGGGAAAAAGCTTTTGACAATTCCTTTTTAAAATAATTCCTGAATGTTTTTTGTTTTTTCACATAAAGGAATGCCCTTTTTTTACATGCACATTGTCAGGTATTAAATTTATAAAGGAAAGGAATGTGAGAACCCTCTTTAATTTCAGTTTGTTTTAAGTTTGGCATGACTTTTAGTCAGCAATACTGAAGATTAACTTATAAATTCTAAGTATCAAATGAAGCATTAATATAATACTGTTTTGTGTACAGTTTTTTTTGGTGAAGTCTGTATGCTAGAATATTTTATATATACAGTAGTAAGTATTTAAAAAGCCCTTTACCAATAGTCAAGTTTCAAGTTGTCTTGCTATGTCAGTATTTTGGTAGTTTATTTTTTCGGCCTTGGATCAAACTTTCTATTAAAATTTCCGTTTGTCAAGGACAATTTTGAAAGGAGATATCCTCCATCACAAGCTGGGTTTCTGCTAACCCTTCATTAGTCATCAATGCTGATTGAATCTTATTTTTATGTAGCTTCAACGATTTCTTCTTTGTTTTGCTACAAATGGCTAAGACTAATTTCAAATCATAAATTATTCTGAGGATATTGTCATCATTTCAGAACATGTCATGCCCCTCAAAAAATTATTAAAATTAAACATCGGGAAAACATAATGCCTAACATGTTAAAGTACCATATTATAGTGTGCAATATTGACAAATTTTATGATTTTTCATAGTGCTATCTTCTCTCTGTTAACGAAGTGGCTAAACATTGTTGGTAATTGGCTGAGAAAAATGCTAATATTTGCCAATATAGTTAAACGTGTTTCATATTTAGTGGACAAGCTACTGAATACAACTAAAGCATTTTATTTTGAGGTGTGTACCAGTTGTTTTCCCTTCCTTCATTTGTTTGACCTTTCTGATCTTTATACATGTACATGTATGTGTCTGATGTCATCACAAATGAGGATAAAATATCATTGGCTACATCAGTTTCTGAAATGGCGCTTGTCTCATAAATAAATATATAAATAGTTGTGTAGAGAACTACATACTATTACCAGTATTAACTATCAAACTAGCATTGTCCCCTAACAAGCAAAACACTTGAAACTTGTCTATTGTGCCATAAGACATAAAATAAGTTACTGTTAGGCTAGATATCCATGCAGTAAAACACTTTATTTATACATGACAGTTTGGTTAGTTAAACAATTAGAATGTTTCAATAGTAAGGGCAGAGCTTTAACACTCCCTCATATTTTATCATATTGACATATCTTCCAAATATATTGAAAAGCTAAATATATAAATTGCCAAATATAATAAAATTTTACCTCTATGTGCCAATCATTTGCAATTCAGGCAAAATCAAGATTTTTTGTGTTTTCAACTCTGCCAAAAATAAATAGGTGATTTTTGAACACCCTGAATACAGTACTTACCTGTTTTTTTGTAAATTGTTTTTTAAATGGGAATAACAGTGCTTGAGATTGAGTTTTTGACTGCAGTATGGTGTTGGGTCTCAAGTTTTATAGGCTTTTAGCAGTATATACAATGTACCGTATTTACATTTACTAGTTTAGGGATCGCTGCAAGTTCTCATATTAAATTTACAGTTAAAGGCATGAGACTACTAAGCTACTACTACAGATATCAGTTTTTGATGGGTGTTAAATTGGCAAACTAATTTATTCTTGGGTAATAATTAAAAGTTAACAAATTTTATTTTGATAAATAAATGACTAATATTTGAAATCATGTCTGTTGGAGTACTCTTTGTCTTAACTGATGTTTGTGTACCATCACAGCCTCCAGCTCAACGAAAACATGGCCAGTTTCATCAGGAATATCATCAGCCTTCTTCCTCTAAGTGGTAAATTTTTTTTTTTTTCCCATCTTTTTACGTTATGTCTTGTGTTCATATCATTTTGCATTCTGTTGACTGTATGCCTCTGCTATCTATATTGCATGCCTTTCTCTCTTGATGTTGAGAGAATTTGATCTCTTGGATTGTGTGACAACTATTATTGCTATGTTGACGGTTGAAGCCATACTGTACTTGTTAATACCTGTAACGTATGGTGACTTGCCAGTTATCTAGGTAGATAAAACTCACACACTCTGAGAGATAGAAATACTCATTTTCTTTCTCATTTTCATATCACGGTCTCTTTATTCTTGTAATCATACAATCATGTGTGCTTTATTCTTTGGCAGAATTGACCTGTAAGTATGACAAGGAGGTAGAAGCAGTCTGTGCTAGATATGAGCTGGCTGAGTGAAGTCCTGGTAACTGTCATTTTCAACAAACATGGCATATGATCATCATCTCATGGGAACCACACTGCAAACACACACCATATTTCCTCTTTTAGAATCATATGTCCTTTGCATTATCGCCAACAAATGTATTTAAACTGAACTAAAAGTGGACTATATATAAAGTGTGCAGGATATAATCACATCACCTCTGTGTTCACATGTATGGAATTACCAACATGGTAAACCTGGATTACTGCAAATCATGACAGGACTTCAAGTAAATAAATACTGTTTTAGTATTTGACATGCAATTCATATACTGGAATTGTGAGACATGGGTATAGGGGTGTAACTTATAATGTAAGTTTCCAAATCGAATATACCGTAATATATAAAATTGATGTCAATTTGAAGCGCATCTTAGCTGTATACTATGTGTATGTGTTTTTGAAGCCAACTAGGCACAGTGCACTGCTGAGTTTGAATTCTTGAGACGTTATGAACATGCTAATATGGTAGTAAGAATTGACACATTTTAACCAACTAGCATTCATTAATATGCAAATTAGCCACCATGCTGGGATAAATTGAAGTGTTGGTACACCTTGACATTGTTGTACTAATTATGTAATTATATCCTTGGATGCCTTAAGGGTGTAAAATACTCCACAGAGTACATTTGTAACATGGTTTTCATACAAGACGGGTGTAGATAAATAAAAATAACCCACATAGGTATGTTATAAATAAATAATACAGCGTACACTAGCATAACTCAGGTTTTTAGTTGTAATGGGTATATAGGGCTGTAGTGAGATTGTCATCCACATTGTATTGATATACACACTGGGCACTAAGTCAGACAAGTACGGTATTTTCTAATTACTTGACCCGGAGGATGTGATACATTGTTCTGCCAGATTTATGACTCGTGCAGAAACAAAAAAGATAGAATTTGTTTCAAATCAATTATGCTAGTCTGTTTGAAGATCATTTTGAATCTAGCTACAAATGTATTCTGTATTTAATAACTGGGTACATTTATCTGCATATGAATTAAACACATTTAACTCTCGGTATCTACAACAACAGATATTGAAATAACTACCTATTTGGTGATTTATTTGTCAATATTAATATATTTACAATTTATGTAATTTAGGTGCCTTAAATGTTAGTCATGTGACTCACACAGTGATTTATATTTTCGTACATATATGAATTTATCAGGACCTGTTATTGTATGGCTTTATTGAATTTAAATCACCTGTGATATGGAATCTCACTGGATATAGGCTTCTTTCAACAACTCTTCTTGCAAATTGATGCCATAATTGGGGCAAGATAAAGATAACCCATACAGGGTTGAAGGCTGTTTGGGTGTCTGGGGCCCCTAAAGAGTTGGTGATCTTTAAGGATCAAAGCTAACCTATAAAAGGGTGGGAAGGGAAAGCTTGTGAAATCCCATGGTTAATTGGTTAACTGTCTAATTCCCAGATTGGAAGTTGAATAATTAAATCTGGAATAAAGATGATTTCAAATAATATAACCTCTATAATCACCTTGTATATGTTCTGAATTCGTGTGTATACACAAGAATTCAGAAAATAGTGACTCTTATTAAAATAATAAATTTAACTAAATATTTAGGAGTAGTCCCCAAACGTGATCTTTTAGTTTTAAAAGAAATAAGTACTTTTATGATTTCCTTGTATTATTTACTTATTTTCTCTAAATATAACTACTATCAGAATGTTTTTATTATTGACGAGTATCGTCCCTAAGATTCTACCATTTATATGGAAAATAAGAGAGCGATTGAGACAAGAGCTTCTGTCATTTCCAAATGGTTGAACATGTGGAAGCTTGCACTACTATTGTGTATTTGTCCTGATTTAGACAGTACAAGGGAAAGGTTTTAATGCTTTCACTATGTTTTATATATGTCAGTTACTGTTACTGATATTATATTTTTGCAGCGTCCTTATAAGGTTACCTTTGGTATCCGTCTGTAAGGCACAGTTCATCAAGCGCATTGTATGTAAAACTGAATCTTGTCTTAAATGATTCAGTAATCCAAACCATTCTAGAAGTGTGTATCTTGATTCGCAATTACAAGGAATCGCATTCACGCTTGTTAGGCATGCTCAAAAACCTTTTGCTCAAAAAAAGAAATTACTTGAATTTGTATTTTTTTTTTAATATCACTTATGGAAGATATGAAACTTACCTTTATACTACTTTGTCTAAAACTTTTGCAAATATATGTTTGTTATTTTTCTGCAAGTTTTCTTAAATGTGTTGTGCTCACTATGCAGATTTTTACTGAAACTCCTTATTTTATTACATCATATAGTTTACTTGTTTTTAAGAGGAATATTCCCTATAAGGTCAATGTACGGTATATAGCAATGCATGTAGTAATACATATGTATAGGTCTAGTATTCGTTTATTGATATGACTGGAAATTAGGGTAAGTGAATATGTGCTGTATAAGGTAGTATTTTATTAACCACTAACAGGCAGCAATGTTTTTTCTCAACATATTCTGTGAGCCGTTCAATTTTCGCTGCTACGAATTTTATGACATTCAATGAAGACAAAATTTCATGAAAGTCGCTGACGCTCTTAGAGGTATATTCACAGCTGCAAAATTTAAAGCAGTTTGCTGTATTTTAGCTACAATGTAGCACCTCCAATATATCTGGACAGAACTTTAAAGTTGTATTGTCTTCTATAATTTATTGAAAGTGCTTGACATGTGAAGTCATTGTGGTCATAAACCAAATTCAATAATTATGATGTTGGATCCAGACTGAGTTTGTCACTTACCATTAAAATTTCTTTCTAGCTTTCATCAGTGTTTTTGAATTCTGTTCTGGTTAGCCCTGAAACAACATAAAGTGTGTTGGTTATCACAAGTTTAAGAACTAGCTGGAGATTCACAGATGTCATCACTATTGATTATCAAAACCTTGCACACAATGTAGTGAATTGAAGGATACCTAAGATGATAGAAATGCAGTAAATTTATGTATGTATGTTGTAGTCATTGCATGATACAAATTATATCAGTCACTTCCAACAGAATATAGGAGACAATACAGCTTTCAATTTGTAACCATCAAGAGCTGATACATTTGTATGGCCAGTATGCTAATTATTGTTTCTGAATAACCAATCAGAAGAGTCCTAGAATGATTGTGTTCTTGGCAACTGAATTTGCATAAATTCACCCTTACCCCACCCATAGTCATGTGATCAGCAGTTTTTTTTTTTTATCTAGATAAATATTGTGATTAATTTAAATAATTAGCAGTCATGGATGTCTAGGAAGTGAATCTTAGTGTGTTGGATTTTCAGATTTCTATTTTCTAGTAAATTTACCAGATATTAATTTGTACAGTATATTCAGGGTCAGACACCGCTTGTCACCGGGTCATATTTATAACAATCTACAGTGCTTTATCTTTTTTACCAATTTTAGGAATTTCCATGCAATGTGTAATGATAAGTGAATTCTCAATAAATTATAGTGTTTTAATCAAATATTATTTCTAGTTATTTATGTGATTGGTTTCACTGGGAGTAGATGTATTATTACAAAAATATTAAAACTTTAAAATTTGCCTTTTATCTACCCTTTCTATATAATGGTCTGTTCTTCTTGCCAATTGCCTTCACTGCCTATTTACACAAATCAAATTCTTATCAATGAACGTCATAAATAATAATATCAGTGTATATTGTCAATGTTCTGTATACACATATTTAGAACAATGGTGGGTTAGAATTTGTGGTTTTTATAAGGTCAGAGTTTAATTTTTCCACTGTACGCAGGAGAATTAACAATCTACATAGATGTTACCAAGTAAACATTATTGATAAATGTCATTAATAAAGCAGAACATTCCTTTCTGTAAACAGGTGGTGAAGGTCATCCATTATACAGGAGCAGTAGAATAAACAGTATTTTGTAATAATATTTGTTTGATAATATATTTCTATTCCCTGTGTATGTATCCAAACAACTAATGAATGTTTCAAGAATTCCAGCAGTGAGTTCATTGACTTGATCAGGAATTTATTTCTACTCAAGTGTCAGGAATATTGATTTCAATTTATATTTTATTATCAAATTTCAATATCCAAACAACATAAATCTACATATTCCATCACCAAGAGTTCTAAATCCAAGAATTCAAATATCCAATCACCAAGAATTCTAAATCTTAATATACAATCACCAAGAATTCTAAATCCTAATATACAATCACCAAGAATTCTAAATCCCAATATCCAATTTACCATTCGAAATTCGAAATCCCATTATCCAATCACCAAGAATTCTAAAACCCAATATCTAATAACCAATAATTCAATATCCAATCACCAAGAATTTGAAACTCGATCACAATTTTCAATTACCAAGAATACAAAATTCAATCAATTAAAAATTCGAAATCCCAATATCCAATGACCAAGCATTCATAATCTCAATATCCAATCAAGAAGAATTCGAAATTCAATAACCATTTTAAATTCTATCTAATCACCAAGAGTTCAAAATCACAATTTCCAATTACCAAGAATTTAAAATTCAATCACCATGCTAAATCGTAATATTCAATATAAAATCACCAACAATTCGAAATCACAATTTCCAATCACCAAGAATTCAAAATTCAATCACCATGCTAAATCGTAATATTCAATATCAAATCACCAAGAATTCAATATAGCAATATCCAATTACCAAGAATTCAAAATCCCAATATCCAATCATGAAGAATTCAAAATCCCAATATCCAATCACCAAGAAATCAAAATCCTAATACTCAATCACCAATGATTTTAAATCAATGAACTATTTGATGGATAATTTGAACACCCATTGATTGAGAGGTCTGTAACATTTTCTAGTGATTGCCAATAATGGTTATTGATTTGAATCAATAAAAATAATTTTACAAATTATTTTGAGATATCAAATTTTTCATACTGTATGTAGATGAATATACTGGACTACGATTTATCATAAAAATGCAGTTCTTGTAGCACCCATTTATGTGAAATGAATCTCTTTAGTACGCCGGGGGCGGTTGAATGTTCAAAAGTGTGATCATTTTTATACCTGGATAGTGGCAAAAACTATACCCATATTTATATCCAAGTACCATTTCTGTCATTACTGTTTAATGCAAATAAAAAACAGTTACCGTGCTAACTCTATTAGAAGAGCATCTCCAATGGAAGCACATGTAAGTCAATTCACTGAGGAATCTGCGCTCTCTTCTATTCCGTGTTAAATCTCCGTTTAAATGTTGATTGCTTTATTTAATTCCCCGGGTTGATGTATATATGGATCTGAGGTGGAGATATTCGTTCATATACGGAGCCATATACCAAAGTATACCAAATCAGAAAATTATTACCGATATTTATACCTATCTTGACCAGAAATAAGACCGATACTAATACCTAAAATAAAAAAAACGAGACCCATTTTAGGGGCACGTCCCCATTAGGCGAGTTCTATATATAGCCCCCCCCCCCCACCCCGGCTAGTACGCATGTGCACCAGTTTTATCGGTACGTTCAATAACAATCACTGCATATGCGTATTAGTACTGTTATGTGTCCTGCAAACACAACATGTTTAGTTTATGGTAAATCATAATCGGAACTGGTCTACAGTATCAAATAACAATATTAAACATGATAATGTAAATGCATTTCAATTATGAGTATAACATTGCCATGCATCAAGCTAATTTAAACATTAATAAACAGATTGACAGTTTTCAAAAAGTTCCCCATGCCGGGGGTAAGAGTTAATTAGCTGCAATCTTATAGAAACTTTGATTAAAAGGTTAATTTAGAAAACCTTTCAACACTTGTGGACTCGGATACCTAATTCCGGGACAGTGTCTTCTTCGAGAATAAAGGCTCAACTCATACGTTACAAGAAATGTCTAGCTAAAATATTATATATAGTTTTATTTGGAAAGTACAAAATGCAATACTCGAAAAATAAAACAAAATTAAAATCATAACCCCATACTTTAAGTGTCCTATGACATCTTTCATTCAACATCACAACACAGACTATGCAGCAGTATGATCTCCAAAATTACATTCAGAAATACATGTAACGAGGAATGGAAATATAAAATATGAATTTCATTAATGTGACAGCAGTAAAATTGCAGCAAAATAATGTTCAATAAAAAAATACAATGAAAATAATTAGTATGAAAATAGTTATTCTTTTTGTTCTAACTTTCCTCAACGTGTTTTATAATATGTACTTGAACATGAAAATCACCTGTTTTTCCAGTTAAAAATGTTAAACGGTTGATCGTCTATTCTGGACAACTTCTAAACCTTTTGCTTTACCATTCAAATTTAAAATAATATTTATATTAATATGTTCATATTTGAAAGACTATTCTCGATGTTATGGATACTGGATTCCGTACAACGTCGACACCTGAAGAGTGTCTGCATATTATTATCAGCGATGAACAGCGCCCTCATATGTAAGGATATGCGTACTTTCCTAGGGAGTCCCAAATTCCCAGCGGAAGTTGCACATGTTAGTATGCACTTGAAATAAATTTCAATCAAACCAATTTTTGGCTCTACAGTAGTTAGTTTGGCGTCGAACGAGTAGTAACCATGAATATACGAAGCGCAAAGGTAAGCCATATACTGTTACTAAACCTTAACCTTAATAACTAAGGCGGAATTTTGATTTGATTCGATCGTGTTCGATCATGTTGACATGGACTATTTGTAGTTTCATTTCCAGTTTGGTTTCTTCGTTCCTTGAATTGAACTCCTAAATAAGTTACGGGATTGTAGCTCCATTAGCTCGCCGATTCGGACACTCAGCTGGGTCTCCATTACCCTGTCATTAAGGTTACCTGATCATAATCCTTCTCAACCTTTGGGGCCTCATTATTTCTCGAGAATCTCTGACGATGCATATACATGCATTATTATGTAGTGTCGAGTTGTTAATGAGATTGAGAATCTGTGAATGAATCAGTATCTATTTCACAAGTACACTCCATAATTTTCCAATTTATTGTTATCGCCAGGGTGCATTGCCCCATTCCTATACCCTGGTTCCTTTGCAAAAAGAAAACCAATAATAATAAACATTGTTGAATTCATAAACTCTACAGTAGTACTATTGTAGGGTTTATGCACAAATCAAATCACGTTTCCAAATCATAGTGAACTGTGGGATAGTTTTGATCAAATTAAACACATTCGTGAATCACAAATCGTGCAACCTAAATTGGGAGCTAAATTGGTCATGTTTTTTTCTTTGCTGGGGGGAAATATAGCATAGTCATAAATATTGAATTACATTTCTGAAGGCAGGTCATAGTCATACTCTTTATTATGTATAATAATATCGATGTGTGAAAGCAATGTCAATCATAGTGAAACTTTGTTTGGTTGTTTTTGTAGCTCGATGGCCAAAAGCCCTTTATTGCCGACTTATTTATGCTTGACATTACACAAGATGGCATCAGAGGTTATAAGTCTAATTTTCTAGCCAATCTCTGTTATCCCACAGTCGTAACACTATTTCTTCCCGCCAGTTATTTCCGCGTTGTCGTGTCCAAATCGCCCGGGTTGCTGGGTCTATTGTTGCGTTATTCATACACACGAATAGCGTGGACATGAACTGATCATTTCTCAGTCTTGTTCAATATAACAATTAAGTTGGCGATTTCTTGCTTTTCGAAATCTTGATTAATCTTGCCTTCTTCTTAAGCGTAAAAATACACGAAAAAACAGAAACAAAGCAAATGCATTTACCAGAGGGGACGCCATTTTGTCGATTGGCCTTTCCATTTGATATGATCGTTGAGGGCGCAAAACACCAGTGCTTTTACTAAGTGAAACGCGAGCAGACAATTCAGCAGATTAGCTAATATTTGCACAACACCAACGTTTTTTAGACGTGTGAGAACGTATAGCTATTGTCATGGTCATGGTTATGTAATCCTAACACTATGAATAAAAGTAAAAGAAATGCATAGCAAAGTCAATGATACAACAGTTGTGTTCTTGTCAGAATATATAGCAAGTTTTCTATAAGCATCAGAGGTCCTGAATCGCCTTTCTTTCTTTTGCATTTAGCCAAACAACACATCCTTGTATAAATGGTTTGAATTAGCCAGTTGTAATCATATAACGATCTTGAGATGCGCATTGCTAACCAATCAGAAACTCAACTTGCAATGTTAGCAACAAAAGTCTATTTATTTTTGAATAGAAACATTTTAACATAATGCGTAACCTCCCAGAATTCACTGTATGACATCGCCCAAATTTCTGCTGTTCACTGTATGGAGCGTAAACAACAAATAAAATAGTGTTGATTGCCTAATAAAATAAAAAATAAAATTGATTGCTTGCTAAATCCCTTTCGTTAACCTTTTCACCACCAGACTTTATCGCCAGACTTTGTCTGCACATTTTTTCTTCAATACTAATATTTCTGGAAATGTATCCTAATTTTGAAGCCAACAGGCAAATTTTTAGTAAATTTTAAGTTTTTACTGGAAACATTTAGCTATATTTGTCACAATCAATCTGAAGGAAAGAGCTGACTATAAACAGGACTATTTTGTGAATTTATAATAAAAAAAAGGGGGAACTGGTGGGAAAAAAGGTTAAATGCTTTGGTTTACAGGTGAATTAAGAGCTGTTTATTTGTTTTCTAGCCTGAAGATCTGATGAACATGCAACATTGTAACCTGTTATGTTTGCCAGAAAACTACCAAATGAAGTACTATTTCTATCATGGTTTATCCTGGCCACAGTTATCTTACGTTGCTGAGGACGATAAAGGAAAAGTTGTGGGTTATGTACTTTCAAAAATGTAAGTTGGTGGATATACATTACTATCGTCTTTTCACTTGAAGAAACCAGCACTGAAAATAATAGATGAAGTTTAATAGAGATTTGGATTCATTTTCAGGTTTGGTTTTGAGTTATTGCG